TTTTTCGGTTCCAAGAGGACAAGAGTCTGATTCTCATTCACGAGTGTCACAGGTTTTCCTCGGAGGCGCCGTAGCGGCCGTGTTCTACATATTGTTCTGGTAAAAGTGAATAAACCCACCTCGTTAATCTCGAACCACCCACGTCTCAGAATGTCTCAGCAATTTGATTGGACGGCAGTCTCTCGCCCGTTTGCTCGGCGGCTGAGGTAAAAGCCTCCTGGAGAAGATTTACACAGCGAAGCTGAAAAAAATGAAGCCCACCACTGGATGGAGTCTTTAACTCCATCACAGGAAGGCAAGAAGCAGTAAAGCCCCGTGGCTTCCATTACTGGGTCCAATAAAGTGAAGACAATTCATCAAGATGTCCGCTCTGCTCTCGTCTTTTATTCACACGTGGTCTGGCAACTGTATCTCATCTGGGGAAGATGCGAGAGTTTCATATGTGATAATTCTGTGGTGAAGCAGGAATGGATGAGACTGTCACAGTAGACTCTCCTAATCCTAAAGAATGATCAGAACGTGAGTTCATTCTTTCATCTATGCTAAAGCAAATAGTAATTAATAATGCCATCAGCCAAAAAAAAAAACCTCCCTGTGCAATTTTAAAAGCGTGTTTACAACCTTAGATGTAATTTTGTCGTGGGTTACAATGTCTTACATTGTGCATGTTCATCATTTTGAAAACAACCCTTTAAACATCTTTAAAAGCCATTTTTTTTAAACAAAAATCATAAAAAAATGAAATGCTTCGTGTCCGGGCGTTCTTTTTTTTTAATTACGTTTGAATTAAACCATAAATCTTAGAATAAAAGTGATGCAGCAGTTGCACAAGCAAATAATCCCGGAGATCACAACAACATTGAACTAGGCCGTGCGCGTTGAACTAGCGAGGCGCTAATCCAACCACCGATCTGTCCAATCATTTACACGAGCTCTCTTTCCTTGTGCGACGCTCGCGAGATCTCACGAGAGCGCCGACAACCGCAGGGTCGGCGGTTTGAACCCTCACGTCAAAAGTGTCCCCGAGCAAGACACCCAACCTGCTGCCCGTCGTCCGCTAAACGACGTGATTGAACGTAAAAAAGAACGACCGGGACCAAAAGGGCAACGGTGGTGGCGATAAGATGAGTTATCCGTCTACCAGATACCGTGAATGATTCACATCACCGGTGAAATTAGTTCTTTGTTGGCAACAGATTTCATTTTACTGAGTCAAATCTGAGGGAAAACCCTTGGAATCATCTTATAAACCAGAAACAGTCTCTACAACAACAAAACTCATTTGTTTCCAATTCAAGGAATTACATTTCCTTGCGCTTAGGAAATGATTATCAAGTGTTAGATGTCTTATTTATTTGTTGTGTAACTAAGAAGAGCATGAGTCATGTGCCTTAATCTGCAGGGCCAGACAAACCCTGATGGACTCAGTACTTCAATAGCTAAAATTCAACAGTACTTTTTTAACATCCAACATGCGTTAATCTCACAGAAACAACCGGTTAAACAAACAGGAACTCTTGCAGGTTGAAAGCATCCCAGCTGCAGACTAAACTACCTACAGAACATCCTCAGCTGATTTAGCCCCTTGTTAGAAGATGACATCACTCGCTATCGAAGCAGCCCCAAGTCCCAAGATGCTCATGTACAGTCCGCAGAGGACACGCAGAGGTAACAACCCTTTATTAATCCCCTCTAACAAAGACACCCAGAGGGGAGGGGGGTGAGGGATGATGGGGGGGGTGAGGGGCAGGAAGACAGTTTTGATAGACTCAAAAGAACAAAAGGACGAGAAGAAGGCAGCAGAAACAAGGAAGACGCGTGTAGGACATTGGGAGAAGAGGTGAAAAGGAACAACAAAGGACATCTAGACAGAGACAGAAAGTGCAGTGCAGCCGAATAGAGGCAGCTCACACGCAGACACCAGCTTTGAGTCAGAGCCAACGATATCTAACGCCCCCCTGCAAGGCACGGCAACATGGTTACGTGGCTCTGCCAAGACGCACTCAACGGTGTCCCTTTTCTTTTCCTACAGCAGTGTACACACACACACACACACACACACACACACACACACACACACACACACACACACACACACACACACACACACACACACACACACACACACACACACACACACAGCTGTAATTGGATCGGCCTCTATTTGGGGTCAATGGTAAAAGTGAAAAGACTGCAGGCTGTTTCGACCGGACTAAAGACCGGGGGGGGGGGGTCACAAGAGCACAGGAAAGGTCGCAAGAAACCACTGTGTGCGGGGGGGGGGGGGGGGGGGGGGGGGGGGTAATGGAGGGGAGACCAGGCGAGGGATGCTGATGAAGAAGGGATGGCAGGAAGACGGCAGGGAGATGAGACGTTGTTCGAATCGCTCACTAAGTGAACTGTGAGTATTTGGCTCTCATCGGCGGGCGGGCGGGGGGGGCGGGCGGGCGGGGGGGGGGGGTTTAGCCGGGGAATGAATGGGGAAATTAATTAAAGGACCAGAGACAATTAGGAGGAAAACACCTGACTTCTTTCTGGACCGGTGTAAACTGCGTGGCTGTTGCAGCCGAATGCACGGGGGCCCAACCCGCTGCCCGGGGAGGGGTGGAGGTGGTGCGACCGTGTGTGTTTATTTAAAAACAGTGAAAGAAAAAAAAACAAAACAAACTGCAAAGGAAAAAAAATTCCCAAACACCGTTTACCCCCCTTTCCCATGTTTCTGGTCGTGTCAAATTTTGACACATTTGACAAATTTTACATACAAGGAAAACTATCTGCTATTTCTCACACTTCATAAGAATTAGATTTCTGGGCAGGAAATAGGTCGTTTTTCCTGCCAGCCTTTAGCTGTCCCCCATTTCAGTAAATGTTAATTCAGTAATTCAGAAAAAAATTTATATTATTAGACTTCTTTGTTTCACTTCATACTAACAGGTTTTAGTCTGAGATGATGTGTTTAGTCAACCGCAGTATTTATTGCAAATGTCCTCTTATATTCACAGCAGAATTGTGTGACGGACTGAAAAACATCAAACCTCCTGTGCGCACGCACGGACACACACACACACACACAAGCATAACAAACAAGGTTATGCTTAGAAGTGCTCAGACACAGTCAGTTGCTTCTCCCTTCCCTCATTTTGTTTCGCTAGGCTGATTCAAAAGACATTTAATTATTGAAATGCAATTAATGCAGCACTCGGTGGGAATAGCCAGGACACACACACACACACACACACACACACACACACAAGCACTAATAACATTGCAGGGCATAGGGAGGTAACAGCAGGCTTTACAACAGCAGAGATTTAGTGATTAGGCTGAATACGTAATTAATACTTATTATTATTATTATTATAGGGATGCTGCTTTTCTGAATACGTAGCTGGTAGAACTTAGGGCTTAAATCAGGATTAAGGAGGTCATTATCTTAGTTGCAGAGATAAAGAGATCACAGGTGGATTAAGAGAACGAGACATGTGAGAAAGCAACACTGAATTGTTTATGCTATCGATGTCACTGTTTTAACTAGGAAATGAACCAGAGGTGCAATGTCATGTTTACATCAAGAAAGGCTCACAAATAGCTTTGAATTATAAAAGATGATTTATGAACCAGCTGATTCTGCCAGTTCTGTTAGTATTCTCATCAAACCACTATGAACACATACACAGACCTGCATGAAATAATTACAAGGTGTGTGTGTGTGTGTGTGTGTGTGTGTGTGTGTGTGTGTGTGTGTGTGTGTGTGTGTGTGTGTAGGGTAGGACCGGGCTACTTCAATCTACCTCGTTAATTCTCACACGCCTTTGCCTCTATTTCAAGGGCAAGAATAACACTGCAATGCCCGAGCTGGTTTCCAGTGAAGATACAACAAGAACAACAACAACAACAACCAGAAAAACAACTATAGATCACCGATAGAAATTAAATAGCGTTGGAAAAAGATGACGCGGGTAGCGGTTTTAATAGGCTTTAGGGCGTTTAGCTTCAATATGCGTTTAAACCCGCTGGCTTTTTAAATGCCTGCACATGTTGATGGCAGCCTCATACTCCCTTTTATTCGACACTATAAGAAAACCAATAACCCAACACATTACTAGACCTTGTAAAAAAAAACAATTCAATGGGCACACCGTCTTGCAAAAACTGAGCAGTCAAGGTTTGTTGTCGTTAATTGCCAGATGAATCAGTACAGTTTTTGAGACCAAACCAGTAGTAGGTTATTGCGTAGAACGGCTCTTACCAATACACGGTGAAAGGTAGGACGGAAGGATGGATGCGCGCGGTCTCTCTCTCTGCTGCTCTCCTCTCGCGCCGCACCTCGCTGCGTGTTCGTTTGCCGCAGACTCCGCCCCCTCCACGCCAATTGGTCCAGCGGAATCGACCAAAGAGTGTTGGCGTTAAGCGAAATAGTTATTTTCTAGGCTTCCGCTTTTGCTTAAGATAACAGTATTAGCTGTTAATGCATTTTAGCGTTACCGTGATTTTAAAGTGGTTTACAAACGACTCAAAGCTCACTTGTGTTTAGCGTCTGACATCCTTTTTATTGAACTGTATTTATGTTTGATTTCTCCTGTCTCAATGTATGTCTCAACAGTCATCACGGTTTCTTGTTTTGTAGGCTAGTAACGTCCGTTCAACTTTAAAAAGTGTTCTTAACTTCACATTGGAATATATTTTAACTTTCTTGATACAATCGTTGAGGTCGATAGGGAACCTACTTGTTCTACCGGGTAAAAATAAATGTAGTGCTGCGTTAGCATAAATTATTTAAATATACCTTCTCCATTTGCCTCCCTGTTGTTTATTCTGCTTTCTATACACCGATAAGCGGTAGAGAAAAGCTGCTGCGTAGGTCTGTCAACGAAAGCGTCACAAAAAGCACTACTTGTCCCGTTCCTCTTTGGGATTTGAAGTCCGTTTCGTTGGCCATTGCAATGACGAAATATGACGTAGATTTTCAGAAAGAACTACAAACAGCCTCGCCGGCGATACCGACGGGCAGCGCGCGACACCGCCCACCCCGGGACTCTGGTCTTCAGCTTTGTCGGCCAGGAAACTTCCTGAATAAGACAACAACCACAACGAGCGGAGTTCCGGGTAGAAAACGCTCGCAGCACCCGTCTTATCTTTTTATACGACTGATGGTGCCGTTTTTTTGGTTGTTGTTGCCACCAGATACTTGGCTAGCTAGCGACAGAGAGCTAACAGTTAGTTAGCTCACGGCGGAGTTGATCACCTGCTGTTAACTGCTAATCTCATGTTAGCGCCAACACTACCTGTGGGTATACTCTTCATCATCACATCACCCAGCTCCTGGCTTGTCTTCACCCGGGACCAGCCTCCCCCTCCCCCGGTAAGTGTCTCTGACCATCGGTGGTAACGTGTTTACTTCTTTCAAATTGTGACACTTTTGTTGGGGTGGATAATGTTACAGCTGTTTAAGACGCCGCGACATCGCTTCACATCGCGGTCAGTTTACCTCCTGCCAACACAAAGGGTGGCGTAAATAATGAAAATGGGAGGGAAAAAGGGGGTCTGTGGTGGTTGCGATTGCAAAACATTTTCTAACTTCCGTAATCTCACTCGCACCTGAATTGGCGAAACATTTCAGGAAGAAGCAAGATGTATTTTGGTTGAAACTACCACCCGAACTCCGATGCGCCCTTCCTGTAAACGTCACGATGAGATTTAGTCTGTGTGTGTGTGTCTGTGTGTGTCTGTGTGTGTGTGTGTGTGTGTGTGTGTGTGTGTGAGAGAGGGTCACTGTGGAGCTGTGATGCTGGGTGGGAATGATCTACATGCACCATCGTCCTCGTCACCTTCATCTTCTCTCTTTCTAATTCTAATGGTTTGGACAAATGTGTCTAATAGACGTTAGACCAGACTGGCTTAAAGCAAAGGTGTAACTAATAACATAGATTATAGATTACCGAAACCTGTGGTAGACACACACACACACACACACACTATTACATTACATTACATTACATGTCATTTAGCGGACGCTTTTATCCAAAGCGACGTACAATAAGTGCATTCAACCATAGGGTACAAAATCAGGAGAACAAGAAACAAGAAAGTGCAATTTCCTCAAATAAGCAAATTTATAATTTGCTATAGATGAGTGACGTTACAAGTACAATTTAAGTGCTACAATTTGTTAGTCTTTAGTCGAGGTACAGTCTGAAGAGGTGTGTCTTTAGTTTGCGGCGGAAGATGTGAAGGCTCTCTGCGGTCCTGATGTCTTCAGAGAGCTCGTTCCACCATTTCGGCGCAAGGACAGCGAAGAGTCGAGATCTAGTCGAGTGTTTTGCTCTCAGTGAGGGAGGGACGAGTAGTTTTGCAGATGCAGAGCGGAGAGTGCGGGTTGGGATGTAGGGTTTGACCATGTCCTGGATGTAAGCTGGACCCGATCCATTCACAGCATGGTACGTGAGCACCAATGTTTTGAACTGGATGCGGGCGGCCACCGGTAGCCAGTGAAGAGAGCGGAGGAGTGGAGTAGTGTGGGACAATTTCAGAAGGTTGAAGACCAATCGAGCTGCTGCATTCTGAATGAGCTGCAGAGGTCGAATGGCGGTGGCAGGGAGACCTGCCAGGAGGGAGTTGCAGTAGTCCAGGCGAGAGATGACAAGAGCCTGAATCAGTACCTGCGCTGCCTTCTGAGTGAGAAGGGGACGTATTCTCCTGATGTTGTAGAGCGTGTATCTACAGGATCGCGTTGTCGCGGTGATGTTGGGAGTCAGGGAGAGTTTGCTGTCGAGTGTGACGCCGAGGTTCTTAGCGGTCAAAGTGGGCGTTAACTTTGGGAACTCCGTGCTGACTGTCAGGTCCTGGGTAAGCGAATCTTTTCCGGGAAAGAGAAGTAGTTCAGTCTTGTCGGGGTTGATTTTCAGATGTTGGGCGGACATCCACTGGGAGATGTCAGTTAGACAGGCAGAGATCCGAGCCGCCACCTGGGTGTCCGAGTGAGGGAAGGAGAGAATTAGTTGGGTGTCATCGGCATAGCTGTTGTAGGAGAAGCCATGCGAGCGAATGACAGCGCCGAGAGAGTTCGTGTAAAGCGAAAACAGGAGGGGACCCAGCACGGAACCCTGAGGAACTCCAGTAGTAAGAGGACAAGGTCGACACAGATCCTCGCCAGGTTACCCGGTAGGTGCGGCCGTCGAGGTAGGACGAGAGAAGGGAGAGAGCAGAGCCTGTGACACCAAGTTCCTGAAGGGAGGAAATAAGGATCCGGTGGTTGACCGTGTGAAATGCAGCAGAGAGGTCCAGAAGGATGAGGACAGAGGAGAGAGAGGCGGCTCTAGCAGTGTGTAGAGTGCTAGAGCACACATACATACATACATACATACATACATACATACATACATACATACATACATACATACATACATACATACATGTGTGTGTGTCTACCACAGGTTTCGGTTATTCTGCATTCTGGCTCACTAAAAAGGAACAGATTTATCATCATCAATTTAACTGTCTACAAGGGAAGCGTTTTATCCAAGGCTACTTGTAGTAAAACCTAATTGAACAGTTATGGTTTGAAATGACCAGAATTCTGTTTTAGGGTTGCACTAATTGACTTATCAACACACTTCTCTTCCTTATTTCAAATTTGCATTTGAATTTTTTTCAAAGATGGACAATTTAGTTTTACTCTGCACCGGAAATACCCATGCAAAATGTTTATCCTCAATTTACCTATTTGATTTTCTTGATAACGCTAAAAAAACAACAACATTTGGTTCATATCAAAGTTACATATGCATTTAGATGGAACATATCTGCAATTTGGGCCGAGGAAAAACCCAAACTAAATATAATTATAGATTTGTAGGACTTTCATCTATAGATCATTTGAATTGTTTTGCTAGGAAACACCTTAGATCCATATTTTTTTTGTATCAGCTCTGAAGCAAGTAAGTGAGAAACTATTCAAAGAGTTATGAAGCACTTGAAACCATCTGATGCAATTCACTGTGTTAAAATGAATTCAAAGCGATTAAGGATTTAATTTCTGATTTGTCTTTAACATCTTGCAAAACACAGTAAATATTGGTCCTTTTATTGTCCATGTTTATTGTTTCAATGCCTAACTCGGCTCCCCGTGGACATCTTGTGTTTGTTGACCTCCAGTGGTTTGTGGTTTAACTCCTCGCCCCACTGCAGGGATTTACAGCCTGTGACATCACTGATGGGCGTGGTGAACAAACCTTTGACCACACCCACCAGCGATGCTATTTCAAAGCCTACGACATCACTTTCCGTGACCGTAGCTGTCTTTGCACCTGGCAGGCCACTTCGGTTTCCTACAAAGTAACTTATTTAACCGCGATAAAAAAAAAAATCTTACAATTGCCGAATGTGTAGTAGTGGGTAATGCCAAGTGTACCGTAATGAATAATGACGCCAGTAATAAACTGAAGAGCCCTCTCAGCTGTGTTTAGAGAGGACTATAGATTCATCCAAAGATGAGGCACGCGCATAAAGGCCGACGCACCATCCCTGCGTTCAATTGGCTGCTATCATGAGCAGAATGGCGTCGTATTAGATCATCTGAAAGTGTCGTACAACAAACCGGGGCAGAGGAAGAACTGGTCCTGGAGGTGACGGAGCGAGCGAGCCAGAACACACTGCAAGAGAAGCAGATATGTCCCTCTTATTTTCACCACCGGGATTCGCTGCTTCCTTACGACTGAGGTCTAAAAATCACAGATCTGTATTTATAGCTGGGATATTTTTATTGCAGCAATAATGGTGAAGAGGGTGTTCCTTTATTGAGGCGTGACTCATGCCAGTTCTGTCACCATTGGACCCAGCGGAGCAGTAAAGCACACACATAAGGTGGCGACCCTGTCTGCGGCAGAAAGGCTTTCTGGGAAGTGGCATACTGATTATATGGCACAGAGTGGGAAATAATAAAGCTGCTGAATTATTAGAATGTATTTCATGAGTTTATTCCATCTCCTGCCCTCTCTTTTGAACGCAGGAACATGCAAACCGATGAGATGAATTTCTGGTTGTGACCATGATTCGATGTGTAGCTTTCTTTTAACCCCGACACTCATCAATCTCTCCTCACTTCTTCACCCCCCCGCCGCCTCTTCTTCTTCAGGTCCCCGTCTGCTCTCATTCCGTCAGAGTGATTGAATGAGGTGAAAGTGGCATCAGTGGACAAGCACGCAAATAAAGAGCCATCGATTGGTCCAGGATGACCATGGACGACATGAAGAATGAAGCCGACGCTGCCTCAATAGTCTCCATGGCTCTCTACACTGTGATGTACCCCGTTTTCAACCAGGTGAGGAGCGCAGAGTTTCACTTTAAGCAACAAAAAAAATAAAGAGAAATGCGGATACACGTTAAATATTCAGGTCAAGTAGACGAGGTCTTAAAGTGTGTTTGATGAAAATGCTGGTGCAGCTTTACGGGTAATTTTAATTCTGCTCGAGGTTCAACAGTTCATTGGATGGACTTTTTTTCAGTTCTAGTTTTTATTAAAATATCTCATCTATTGGATGGATTGCGGTGAACTTTTGATGTCAATATTCATGTTTGCCAAAAGAGGAAATGTGAAAACGTTGCTCATCTGACCTTTTTCTTCCAGTGTCATAATAAAAACCAAATGTGGTTTTAGCCAGTAGTTTGATTTATGACAAAATAGCTGCCAAGCTGACATTTCTCCGCTCCAGGTCTACTTTGTGATTAGTGCTAGGTCAACAAATGTTAGCATGCAAACATGCTAACATTTCCATTGTGAGCATGTTAGCATGTTGATTAGCATTTAGTGCAGCCTCACAGAGCCGCTAACACGGCTGTAGAGGTTGGCTATGCAAGCTTTGTGTTAAAAAAAAAGAGACAAATATCAAAGATACAAATCCCGAATGAACACTTCCATCGAGGCTCTTTGCGTGTAGGCCAACAGACGCAAACGTTCAGAAGCACAGGAGAAATTCACGCTGTACCGTAGAGGTTCGGTGTGGCGGAGTCATTCATTCTCAGCCCATATATGTGCCATTGTGTCACTAAACAAAAACCACTGCCAACTTTGCCCTCCAGAAGTTGCTTCGCTGAGCCCCCGTTGGCCAGTGAGTTTGTGTTGCTGACCACTCACTCCCCCCTTCTTCTCTTCCCCCCATTTCGTCTGTGGCCGCGCTCCTATAAAGCATTGAATACCAAAAATAAGTTTGAGCTGCACAAAACCGAAGCCTCATCTCACGCCTGATCTCTGCACCTTTAGTTTGTCTCCATTTTAAGACGTTGTCGCCGAGTTCGACTAAGTGAGGATTTCTGTGATATCGTAATAACATCAGCCAGAGAAATGGCGTACGCCATATTTCTACGCCCTCATTGGTTTGTCAAGACCAACCCGCTCTCACGCAGACCAACACGATACTGTGGGTTTTTAAGTCCGAGTCAGCCAAAGGCGCACACACGCACACACACATATATTTCCATTCGAGAATAGGTGATGTGAGGCTTTGTAATTTGAAACGGCGTTTCATTATTTATAATTCTGTGTCTTTGAGGGGAGATCAGGTAGTTTGAGGTTCAAAGCAGATTAGTTTGACAGTAATTGCCAGGGATCTTTTTATACTTTCTTTTATGTTGTTCTTTTATCATATTCTCAAGTCGATATTTCTTCCATTTATATAATTCCTCCCCTCGGGTCAGTGATGGGTTGTTCTGAAGAAGTTTACTGATAGTGCGATTATTTCTCATGTCCATAAAAGTTTCAAAAGTATCCGTGAAGCAGAATATCTGAGCGATTGAATGGACGTCAACGTGTGGACGGAGACACGGCTCTTCACAATACAATAACGCAGTGTCCTGTGTGCAATCTGCAGAATTACATTTCAGGACATCGAGGCCACGACAAGAAGGAAGCTGTGTGTGTGTGTGTGTGTTTTATGGCTGATGTTTGTGCGTCTGTGCTTTACAACTTGCAGTTGGAGAAAGTCAACTTATCAGCAGCACAGACCTTGAGAGCAGCCATTATAAAGGTAAATAATAAGCGAGCTCCTAATTACCATAATCCATGAATACCCTCTCTCTGATTTATGGAGTTTGATAGATTCAATGCCAGAGACGGCCAGAGTGCAGACTGTTCTCTTTGTTTTTCTGTTTCAAGGCAGAGAAGGAGAACCCCGGTCTGACCCAGGACATTGTTATGAAAATACTGGAGAAGAAGAACGTAAAAATTGACTACCACGAGTCTCTACTTCGCATGGCTGCAGACGACGTGGAAGGTAGGAGGCCCGGTGAACGTGCAACGGCAGGAGGGAGGTGCAAGAGGGCCAGCATGACCTCCGCGGTCCCTCGAAGATGAGGAAGGCACATTAAACTGGCCAACATTAGCCTTCTGCCAGGACGCGCCCACCAGTGGCTCTGCAAGATCCGCGGCTCGGCTTCGCTCGGGTCCCCGTTGTGCCCAATGCTCGTCTTGCAATCGCCCGATCCTCCACCGGGGGGAGCCGTTTCTCCACAAATGGCCCGCTCTCCCCGGTCTCCAGCGTTCCTTCCTTTTCTGTCCGTAATTGAAATCTTTGTGCGGTTTACAGTGATTGATGGTATTAATGAATTCACACACTGTAGATGAATTTTAAATGAACCTCCTGCATGCTGCTGCCCAAGTTTGGCCTCTGTCCCGTCTCCAGTTGAGAAACTTCAACACCTTCACTTGTGTTCTCGCAATCACGCATGAGCCCGCATTCACCGTATCCGTTTGCACTGTAGATTAATTACACCATTATTAATCACTTATTTCCAGTGTCACCCGAAGTCGATTGCACGTGTGTGAGTGTGTGAGCTGCGCTCACCTCTTCCTCTGCTGTGCTTTCTGTTAGAGTTCACGATTGACAGGCGAGAGCCAGAGTTTCAGGAGCTGAACGAGAGAGCCCGAGCTCTGAAACACATCCTGAGCACCATACCAGATGAGATCTATGACCGAGCGGGCTTCCTACAGAGTATCAAGTAAGACGGCTCCCTGTGTGCAATGTACTCCAGGTTCCACACTTGACGTCAGCGCACACGTTGCTAGCTAGAACTGATGTCTGTACGCTTAGCTGTTTGGAGACAAATGGACTCGATTTAAATGGTCATTTTGACCTTTTTCGTCATCGCACTATATAAACGCACACATGCACAGGCTAAAGAGAGGAGGTTTCATTTTCCTGGCCCACTTTGCCGTTATTTTTGTTAGAATTCAATACTCTTAGCGAGTCACCGCTTAAAGAACTTACCCAGCGGAGGGCTTAGAAAATAAAGTCAATTCCAGAGAAATGCCGGGAAATGAAAAGTTATGAAACGGCGGATTTTGAGTGCAAACCAGGAGAAAAAGTTGAAGGTGAAAGCTTGCTTGTGAGACAAGTTGAAGAAAGGGAACCGACAGATTCAGAGCTAATGTTTTCCGTGTGTGTGTGTGTGTGTCATCCTCAGAGACATCGCCAGTGCCATCAAGGAGCTGCTGGACATGGTCAATACGGTCTTCAGGAAGTACCAGTATCAGAATAAACGGGTAAGTAGTTACACGAAGAAGACCACCAATGTGTTCACACTAATGTGGTATCTCCGTGGGGCTTAAAGGCTGCGTGTACTTGTTGGTTAGGCGCTGGAACAGCAGAAGAAAGAGTTTGTGAAATACTCCAAGAGCTTCAGTGTCACTCTCAAAACCTACTTCAGAGACGGAAAGTATGACACTGTTTCTAGTTCATTCTCTTCCTTCTCACTCGTTGTCCTTTTCACACACAGCCACCAACACATTTAAAGGCTGTATGAGCACATCGCAGTACCACTAAACACACACACACACACACAGACGTGTAAATGGTTGTCGTTTGATCACAGACTGGCTTCTTCCAAATCCTCCATTGCTGAATAATTCCCTTGACCCATTTCCCGTGGATTCATGCTGGTTTGCATCTCTGACATCCTCCGTTGCAGCCAGATCAAAGTGTTCCCTCGGATCAATCCTAATGTTGTTGCCATGGTTTCTTTTGCTGCATGCTTGACTTGTGTGTCCTTGTGTCTCTTGTCACGGTTGTTTCCAGAGTGATGAACGTCTTTGTCAGCGCCAACCGGCTCACCCACCAAACCAACATGATACTGCAGGCCTTCAAGACCGTGGTGTAGCCCCCAACACACACACACACACACACACACACACACACACGTTTTTATTAGAGAATAGGTGATCCGAGGCTTTGTAATTTGCAAAGACATTTTCTTATTTTGGGCTGTATAATTTATAATTCTGTGGCTTTGAGGGGAGATCAGGTAGTTTGAGGTTCAAAGCAGATCAGTTTGACGGTAATTGCCAGGGATTTTTTTATTCTCTTTTATGTTGTTCTTTTATCAGATTCTCAAGTAGATATTTCTTGGTTCCGTTATATATCCCCCTCCTCCTTACTTCAGTGCTGGGTAGTTCTGGAAAAAGTTTTGAAAAATGAGATTATCTGCCATGTCCTTTCAAAAGCGATTGATAAAGTTTTATAAAGTAAAATAAGTGGTATTCCATCTTCCCACATTCTTGCACATTTCTGCACTCATTTTATTATAATTGTTCTTGTTCAAACATAATCTTGATCCATGCGGTGGTATTATGTACTTGGCAAACTATGTCCTGCCTCTATCAGCTGACTGCAAATTTGAGTTAAATCTCTGAGGAAAAAGATCTGGAGTTACTGTGTTCAATATTTGCCTTCTCCTTCCTGCACTGTTTGAGTGAGCACTGCTTCTCCTTTCCTATAAACTTTTGTTTCAGAAATGTCTTTCAAGTCTTCACGTTTACTGTCCATTAACTATAGATCGTCTCCTATAGAAAAGGCCACACCGGTGCAATGACCCCATCCAACACTGTACTGGACCCTGTCAGCTGTTTCTAACCGTCTTTTCTTCTTGGGACCCCTTTAAACAATGTCTTCCTGTGGCACGTGGTGCGAGCACTTCAATCCTTCTCTGAATGTTTAATTTAAAAGATTCTAACAGAACTGGAGTGGTTGGAGGAATTTTCTGCAGGAAAAAGTAAAATCAATTTATGTTTTTGTCCTTTTTATTTATACAAATTAAAACACTGCATTGTTGCTGGCTAAATAGTTTTTCCCCCCTTTGTAAATGGGACGTGCATGTACCAACTTCTCATGAAGAGAATTGCGAGGGCTCAAACTCTGTTTGTGGAGTCCATGTTCAGAAGTAGTTGAAAGTCATTTCTTGTTAAAGTTGACTCAACTTTAATAATAATCCTCAGACTGGCAAGTTGTAACACTTTGCAACTAGACTCCCAAATCCTAAATTGATGGTTAATGGTTTACGGTGTTTTTTTATTCTGGATTATTAAGCAGCAGATCATGAATAATTGATTCTTTTCTTTGTTTAAACAAGACAATGAATGTATCATTTCTGTTCCTGTCCGTCTCTCTGCAATGGCCACAAAGAAACTACTTGAACCAGATGTAAATAAAAACCTCTCAAGAAACTTGAATAAGACTCACAAAATCTGTTGAAAAATCTTGTCTTTGCTTTACTGGAAATGACAAAGTTCTGATTTGTGTCAGAACTGAAGATCTGAAGTGTGTCTCTCTTCAGATTTGCGTTGTCGTACGGGAGTCTTTCATTTCCGCTCAGTTGCCCTTTTGTTCTCTTTCAGCGCGTGCACCTCTTCCCCACCCTCAAGATCCGCGCCCCCCCCCCCCCCCCCCCTCCTACGTTCCAGCAACTTCATTCTTCTCCCTGTATAATAGTAGATTTTCCACGGTGGATTTGGGCAGGGCTATTTTGGGCTGCTGGCTCTTACACGCACCACTGTAATCCAATTGTGTGAGCGTTAATTTTTTTAAAGCTTTATTATTGAAATTGCTGAGGCCAAATTTTTTATTTTTTTTCATCCTGTCAATGTTGACGACCGCTGTAATCGGCTAATTCAAGTTATTCCGGGCCATTAAGTCACCGGCGGGGCTCGGCCGCGGTCACTGAAGCAGCAGCAGCAGCAGCGAGCCAGCGGGATGATGATATCGCTGCCTGATGTACGGCTTTGATCCGCTCTCGTGCTCGCAGCCGCACAGGAAATCCATTCGTCCACGGGGGACTTCTTCCCCTCTATTGTCGTGCGTGTGTGTGTGTGTCTGTGTGTGTGTGTTGCTACGAGTGACCCACAGGAAGTCCTCTCAAAGGCATTTGAATGGCCTTATAAAGCTTTGGTTGGTGTGTAGTTTATTTTCTAGGTTCACATCAATACTTTTCTACTTCTTTCAATGCATGAGCACTTTTATGAGTGGCTGTAGAATTCTAATGTTGTTGTGAATGATGTTGCTGGAGCCATATAGTGAGTGTGTGTGTGTGTGGGCGTTGGTGGTGGTGTACTTCACAAAGATTATCTTCTCTCCAGTGCCCAATCTGTGAATAGGAAGCAACACGCACATAAACAGCACGTTGTGTGCAGGCCGGTGGGGCCCGGACTCACAAACAACTCTTTTTGACTACTCCGGTTGCCGGAAACGTTGAGAGTGGAGGGATAAATAAAAAGAAAAGAATTGTCTAGAGTCTGTGTGTGTGTGTGTGTGTGTGTGTGTGTGTGTGTGTGTGTGTGTGTGTGTGTGCGCGTGTGTGTGTGTGTGTGTGTGTGTGTGGGGGGGGGGGCGCTGAAGCAGTTCCATTGCTGGCTGAGACAAACCACTGGACTAGAAGAATCTCCCACGGCTCAGACCCAGCTGAGGCCCCGACGGACCGACTGCAGGGGGGGGAGATACATTTAATGAATGCGTTTCAGCGCCTCAGAGCACTCTGTGCGTCCCCAGGCTGGACTGAGAGGAGGAAATTAGTCGTCTTGGTAAGTTTTGAATTGGTTATTAACCGCGTGTTCAGCGATACTGCGTGGACGTCACGATTCAAAGCCCCGCTCTGACTAAAGCGTGTGTGCACAGTGGAAAAGGCGGCAGCTGACTTGACAGCGATGCTGGCAGGCCGGCCGCCTGTCATTTTGCTGTTACAGCCTCATGTTGAGGAAGCCTTTTTCATTTCTGGACAGTTTGACTGCTGTGTGTGTGTGTGATACATAAACCCCAGATAGAGATCCTGCAGTGACGGACAGTTTTGAGAGTCCACTGCGACTGAAGGGGCCATTTAGGAGCGGCTTTGTTTGCCAACAGTGACAATGACTTCACAATATTATATATTTTAATTTTAAAGACGTGTGTTACTTCAGGCTGCTCGCCACAGAAAACTTTTCCTTTCTAGACGTCTGTGCAGTTTAACACTTACCAGTGTAAATAAAGAGGTGAATATGCTCATAATCATTTCAGGATCACGCTTTAGTTAGTTTGCTGTTGAAGAAGACGATGCGCAGCAATGCATTAGTTTTTGCTTTCGTTACACCACCTGTCATCTGAATCTTTGCCCGTCCTCACTTTGATGCCACTTCCAATGAATTTGTCCCCCAAACGTTTATTTTGGGCCTAGAATCAGTGTTTCTTCTTCCCTCTGTGGTGTTTCGTGAGGCTTTCTCACATTTCGCTCTTGGACAACAGGCTATTGATCGATTTTATTTATTTATTTATTTTTTACAAATCGGACAAATTCCACCTTTTTTATTAAGGCCGGTCACCTACGCCAAGACATCACATGGGGGCCTATTCACCCACCTTTGAAAGCCTTTAAGCAAGAGGGGGTGGATTCTGTTGAAAGTGGAAGACCTGTGCACACAATTCAATGCGGACATGTGGATGGAGCCAAGAAAAGAAGTGTGCTGCTTTGTCTTGTAACACCTAGAAATGAGAGATTGTGAGTCTCGAATCACACGCATACCGTGCTTTACCTTCCTGACCTTGTCTCGTATGTTGTGTGTGTGTGTGTGTTAAATGAATGACAGGTCTAAGCCGTAACCATGGGAACGAAGATGGAGGTGGCTCAACTGGAGAGCAGGATGAACGTTGAGGACTACAGGAAGCTGCGGGGCCTCTTCCTCGTGAGCGTTTTCTTTTTTTGTTCAGTTTGTCGCTTTATCAACGTTCCAAGACCTCAAAGATCAGAGACTCCGTTTCCTGCAGGACCCCTCCGGTGCACCTCGCTCCTTGTCCAGGACCGACTTCATCAACCTCTCCTGGTCATCGGTTGGCCGGGGATCCGGGGAGGAGTACGGCCTCCTGTTTGACAGCGTGCTTGTCACTCGGCAGCAGCGCGGCCTCCGCCCGGACGTCGACGCCGTGAAGGGAGAGGGACGCGTCGACTGGGGAGGCCTGTGTTCTTTTCTGCTGCTGCACCTTTCTGATAAAGTGAAGAACACCAGGACCAGCAGGGGGCCCCCCTGGAAGCCGCCACGCACTTTGACCTGTCCACACAGACACCCGGTTCAGAAGGTAAGAGGTCTGTGACCTATCGGGGCTTTAGTACAAGGAGAGTTTGTCTGTGATGCTTGGAACCTGTTGGAAACTTTTTTAAACGTATAATCTATTGCATCATGTTATCTGGAAAACATTTTGACATTGACTGACTGGTGAATCCATAACGCCGCTGACTAGGTGGAATTCCACATTATTAAACATTGCGCGAGGAAAGTTTGAAGGTATTACGGCCCTCTCATCAAAATGGTCCACCTCTTTTGAGATAAATGGCTTTGGACCTTTTGGAGTTTAACATCTATCAATTAATATGTAAATGAAGCGGTTATGAAGTGCCTACTGCTGTCGAGAAAGTGATGGCTCACCACTTTAATCGTTCAATCCTCAGAATGTCAAAATGTCAGGATGTTGTGTAAGTTGTTTTCAAAATGGCTTGACGCTCTTGAACCCTTCAGCTTTAGCGATCTTAAACAGGCACACAAACTAATGGGGCTGAGAAGAATAATGGCAGCGGGAAACAATGTCTGTAAAGAGTGGCACAACCCCAGCAGGGGAACGCAAAATATACACAAATATGTACTCAAACGGCCAATAAACCTCCTGCGCACTTCCGTCCCGCCACCAAACGGCAGGTAGATATTGACTTGCTGGTTAGCGAAGCGGCTAACGAGCCGGCTAATCCAATCAGGGGTTGGAGACCAAAACAGAACTGGGAGAAAGCAACGGTCGTACCAGCACAAAAGCCGTATATATTGTGTTAGCATTTAATGATCAACGCTTCAGTGGCTAAAGAACGGGAGCAGAAGTCTCACGAAAACCGTCCTGCTGATGCGACAGTCGAGCTCATCGCAAAGACGCGTCTAACTGAATGTTCACTTGCACTAAATGTCAGTTTGAATAAAAGTCTAAATAATAATTCGAGCAATACACAGCAGGTGAAAGGCAATGAGATCAAAAGTCCTCACGGAAAGATTCCCATCGCACCAGCGACTCAACCAGTAGTTGATTGATAGCTAATTAGAATAATTAGAGATGAATACGTGCCAATCTGAGCGGTTCGTTAAAGTTTGCAGGTGGCTGTGAGAGAGTGAAACAGTGCAGTAATTACATGGATAGTAAATCTAAGCCTTGACCTCTTCTAGAAGTGTTAATAAACCTCTTTCATTAACGATATTCAATGTCTCTTCCTCCTCATACACAGTCCGCTCAAGCCTTTCTTCTTCTCGCCCCCCAATAAAACGGCATCATTCATTAATCCTTCTTGTTTTATTAGTTTCTGCACCGCTCACTTGTTCTCACATGCTTCCAATAACGGGGAAGTTATTCTTGACATTACTTCTAGTTATTCTAGTGCGGTTTTACGACCAAAGATCCGCAAGAAAGAAACAGATATTTTAATCCTGAAGGCTCGAGCCTCCATTTGACTAATTAATGTCACGCTAGAATGTCACAGGCAGCATCACAAAGAGCATCGAAGCGGTTCTGAAGGTCAATTTTACAAAAGTGTTGCGCAAGCAGAAAGTCTTTTTCTCGCTGCTCGGCCCAATCCAATTTGTCCAGGTCAAATGTTTGTCTTGTTGTCTCCTCTGGTGTCCCCAGTTGTTGCACCTGCAGAGTTCATGTCAGTATCTGTCCGTGAGTAAAGGGGGAACCGTGGCGGTGTGGGACGCAGAAGACGTGTCCCTGCTCCGCACGCATCGACTGCAAAACAGCACGGTGTCACCCAAAGACCTCTGGGTCACAGACGTGGTGCTGCTGCGCAACGCGCACAAGGTGACATTCATTTCTAAAAAAAAAAAAGAAAAGAAAGCAACGCTCTGTCACTCGGCAAAATGATAGATTGGTGTCCTGGTCGTGATTTTGGGTCTAAATGGTTTGCACAAAATGCTATAGTCAGAATCCTTTATATGAATTGATGACGTGTAATTATTGGGGCAGATATTGTACTGCACAGGTAAACAAAAAAAGAAACATTAGTTGTTTAGTAATAAAACCATCAATTATTGATCTGCAGACTTTCCCTTTGTAATTCAACAGATTTGTGGTAACAAAGAATCATCCGTCAGCAGAAATGTTATTATCATCTCATAATAATGAATTAAACTGCTTTCTACCTGCATGGGTTTCTGTTTTTAAACGAGATGATCTATTTCTCCCCTTTTTCCTCTTACCCAGATAGCAGTTTCCTTCACAAGTAAGGAGGTGTGTTTTTATGACATTCGATCAAAACAAGACTTCGAGTGCAAGTATAAAATACAGGTAACTTATCCAGAGTATACAAACCATATCTCTCTCTATGGGACTAATTTGTACATATTACGCATTGCTTCTTTCTAGGGTTTGAAGCTTATTCCCTGGTGTCTAGACTATTGGGCGGATCCCTCTAATCCGGACCACGCTGTCCTCACCATAGGAGACAACGGTGGACAGGTGGGTTTTACACAGAATAATAAAAAGAGGAAGGCTGAACATCGTCACGAGTCTTTATTTTCTGCTTCATTGGTTATTGGTCACCGGTCAGTTGTTCCATGACTCTGTATGTTTCCCAGGTCAGTGTTTTACATTTTACCGCAGCTCAGATCTCTCTGTTTGAGAGTCCGAGGACGGACTCGGACTCCGCAGACATCATCCGATGGGAAGAGCTGATGGAAGGAAAGCAGCGCTCTTGCTACACGGTGACACACCGAGGGCACGCGCCCGCCAGGGTTAGAAAGGGTAGGAAGTACGGACGCACCGACTCACCCAAAACCTTCTGTTTATTTCTGAAAACCTCTCTTTGATGAAACATCCAATCAAGTTGTACGAATACATACGTAATTGTTTCCCTGCCTTTTTCGTTGTGTTGTCTTGACCTCAATTTCTATGTTTACACGTCTACCTTTTCAAGCGCCCACGAAGGCCCTGAAATAAATAGCCGACGGTCTTAACAAAGCATCGTAAAGTTGCCGTTTCCAAATGAGTTTCGTGTTGGCTGATGAGACTCCCGACTTCTGCTGTTTTTCATTCCTGGTTCACTGCATTCATCGGGGGCGTCGGGTCAAGAAGAGAGTTATTATTCAGACAGAAGGAAAGCAAGGATACAAAACCAGTGGCTCAGATAACGGAGAAAAAAAAAACAAAGAACACAATCTGGGTGTCGAGGACACCTGACGCCGACAAACACACACTTTCACCTTCACACCTGGGACGAGGAGCACCGGCTGTGCTCGCTTAACGGCTCAAGCATTAGAGGTGACTCCTGATTCCTCCATTTCACAGCCCTGCACAGCCAGACGTTAAACTATGGGCGTGAAGCGTCGTGGCTTGAGGTCCGACCCCGTGAGACTCCCTACTTAAGCTCCCCCTGCGTTACAAAGAGGTCACTAAGTCGTTTCTCAATTGCATCATATTGGCGTACGAGTCCCTCTGAAGAGTCCCTGCGGGCAGCGCTCTGAGAGTATAGCTCGGCTGAAAGGGAAGATCCTGACAGAAGGGGAAAGCAAGAATAAATTTAAATAAGCACGACAAGTGGAAAAACAAATGGAGGGAGGAGGGGGGCAGAGGAGTAAGTGGCAAAACATTAAAAGCGCAGCTGAATTGAAATGTTGCAGGCTGTGCGTGCGCATGCATGGGAATCCACGTGAGATGGTGCATGCCGACGCCGGGTGTCTTGTTTGGAGAGTGTGAGAAAGGACCTCTGGGGCGCTGGTGGCTTTTCTTTTGAAGTTGCCCACCCTGCAGTATGAGTGGGCTGCATAGCATCAGACGCGGCCGGTTATCCAGACCTCCAAACCTTCGGGCTCACAGGCCACCGGAGAGGAGGGAGGAGTTGGGGGGGCCAAAGAGTGTTGGAATAGGCCTTTGAAACAGAAAGGGGAAAAGCGAGAGGGAAATTGGGATGAAAACAGATCAGTAACGACAAGTAAGGAGGGCTGTAGGAGGTAGGAAGTGTGTGTGTGTGCGTGTGCGTGTGCGTGTGCGTGTGTCGTCAAAGGAAAAAAGCATTAACACATCCACACGATGTTGTGATCAAAGAAATGAAAAAGGACATTCAGGATGAATGTCAGTGTCTCGCTAAAACCTGCCAAAATGTGGAGCAATTTGTTGCAGAACGAAAGGGGTTTGCTTTGATTTAGATACAGAGTGACTCCCGCTGTTCCTCTTTCCATTCTGAACTCTCAGCCATGAAAGGGGGGACATTACCGCACTGGCTAAAGCAGATGTTTTGTTTGTGTGTCTGTATCACAAATAGCTTGATTTATTATCCGTCTGTGTCACTGAGAGAGATGCATTAATCAATGATGAGTCATGCAGCGCTGTCTGAAAATCCACCGATCTTTTAATGGATGAAAGACGCGGCGTATAATGCAATCAGACGTAATTATTTGCCCTTGCAATGCGGCTGATCTTTGACCTGCGACTGTCGCGTGCCGTCTCTCCAACCGCACTTATTTGTGCAGTGTTTGAAAGCAAAGAGGCCTCTAATGGAGACATGCGGCATACGATTTAGATGTTCTCCATCAAAGTGTTAATTGAGACAAAATGGTGATGCAAGATTTTCTGTAATATCAGTGAGCAAACCAAACTGGCCTAATTCTCTGGGTTAGGGTTAACCCTACCCCCCTCTCCCCCCCCAAAAAAGACACTAATTAATTAATTTCTACACAATTTCCTGCAGTGCGTTACCTGGACTCGCTGGACGCCGTTGTGTCCTGCAGCACCGCAGCGCAGAGCAGCGTGGCGATCGGATGGAGGCAAAAGGAAAGCAGTCTACGAGTCACTTCTTTCATCACAAAGAGCGGCGTGTGGGACATGGACCACCACCGGGGACTCAATCTGATAGGTGGGTACTCAAAATTATAGTGACATGCTGTCAGGGTGTTACTAAGAGTGTTCATCTTCAATTTGGTTTCTATTCACACGGTCTGAAAATGAAAGAACGTGCAACAAACACCGTCACCATCAGAGGCACGGATCGACTCTGGGCAACTAGTTCATGGTTTGGTGTAACGCGGTTCTCATTCCGATTGGTTGCAGCCACAGCCGGTGTGGATCACCAGGTCCTGCTGTGGAACCCGTACGTGACATCGAAGCCGGTCTGCGGGCTGGTGGGGCACGCGGGCCCCGTCACCGCCGTTTGCTTCATGCATAACCAGCAGCGGTTGCTCAGCTACTCCAGAGATAAGGTACGAGTGTGAATGCGCTACTGAAATGTAATGTAATAATGAAGAGCCCCATCATTGTTGCATTGGTTCTGTAATTACTGCAGCGGAAGGAGGCTGCGGTGCAGATGATTGGTAGCCTGTTTCACAGGGTTGCCGTTACGAGAGCTGGAGCCCTTCAGCTCTTCTTCAGTCTGATGCAAAAGAGGATGCGGGTGCTTGTGCACCATCTCCTCTCCCCCTTGTTGCTCTGTGCATGTTTGCCTACTCTTTGCCTTTTCTGGAGATAATGAATATTTTAAAAGTGATTTATGTTCCATCTGCCTTTTTGCTCAAACACCATCTGCCATCGCAGGAAGCTATATCTCGGATTCCTCTTGAAGAACTCCTGGAACAGAAGCATTCCCCTTGTTTCGTGCCGTTAAAGCGAGATGGCAGTGCTTGTGTATTCTGACTAAGTGGCACATTATGAAGAGGCTGATAGAGTGCTCACATGTCTTTATTGTATTGTGTTCTGTAATCACTGTTTTATTTATCGTTCTGAAGAAGTATTTTCTCATCGCTCTTGGCTTCCGGGGGGTACAGCTCATCTGCTCGTACCCTTTCCAGGTCCTGTGTTTATGGGATGTATCTAGTCAGCTGTGTGTTCGCCGCCTGGCCGGCGTCTTCCCGGAGACGCAGGGGGACGCGCAGACGCTCCTGTTTGTCCACGAGGAGCGTGGGTTCCTCGTGCTCTCCTTCAACAGCCGGCTTCTCCTGTTGGAGGAACAAAGGAAGAGAAGAGGAGCAGCATCCACCAGCACCCTGTGACCTGTGTGCTGTATTATGTGTATACACACAAGTACATTCTTGGGAAAAGTAGTTTCACAATTTGTCCTCAATGTCAGTTGTTCTGGAGCTTTCAACCATGTCCAATACTTTTTATTTAAGATGTTTTGATAACGTTTGTTTAAAGGATAAGCAGAGCTTTCGTTGGTGTGCTGCTGTCTACCTTTTCTTCTAAATGATGTGAAACTATCAGTGTGTTTACATGATGGTATAATTCGAATGTTTGCTTAGTCGGACTATGCTATCTTTCGGGGGGAGGTGCTATTATCCCAATATACGTGGCAGTGAATAAATCGAATCATTGGCCGAAAGCATGTCATATCCGATACGATAGGTGGCGCTGTTTTCATTACAACTAGTTGTGATACAGCCATTTCCGCTTAACCGCTTCACCACTACCAACAACAACCAACAACAAAAACAACATCAACATTACCTGAAAATTGGGGACTTTAAATTGCCCGTAGATGTGTGAATGGTTGTATGTCTCTGTGTAGCCCTGTGATTGGCTGGCGACCAGTCCAGGATGTACCCTGTCTATCGCCCGAAGTTGGCTGGGATGGACTCCAGCCCCCCCGCGACCCTGTGTGCAGGATAAGCAGTTTGACAATGGATGGATGGAACATTACGAGAAAGATGGCGAACGGAGAGCAAGGTGAAGCTACATCCCTCTACTATTTGTGCATGATGTTAATAGGAGCACAGCGAGTGGCGCTATTGGCTGATTTGATAACGGAGAGAAGACGCCGTCGGGATCTCCAGCATGCGCAAAGACGCAAAGTCCAGTTCCTTATCCGATTCACCGTTACATGACGCAATAGTCAAACTATCAACTGGATCAGATCGAGTTATCCAGGGGTGTTAGTCGGATCGTAGTCGGACCGCACATAGTCGGACAAAGGTGTTTACATGAAACGGATCATTCGATTTCAGTCCGACTAAGCCAGTTGGTCAAATCCATGTAACCACGCTGTATTATGATTTATTCTATGGGATTACCTTTTATTCGCTATAACAACCACAAAACTGACGCTAGTGTCCCCACACAGGAAATAAATACCACACACAAGGAAAAAATGTATACAATAAAGATGTCTCTCATTTTACAACGTGCACTCAGTCTTGCTTTTATTCCCACTTTACAGCATTAGTCACATGTTTACCTCAGTGGCAGCTTAGCACTAAAATAAAGTGTAACGAAGCATGGAAAATTGTTTGGCTTTGTGAGAGCCATCAAAGAATACATCAGCAGAACCGGCCTCTTTTACAGTGTAAAGAGGATCCAACTCCTTTAGATGATTGATTGTCTCTCTCTCTCTCTGCCCCTCCATCCATCCCTCTCTCGCTCTCTTTGCAGGTAGTCAGGTCAAAGAGGTCAAAGCAGGTCGACACACACACACACACACACACACACACACACACACACAAACACACACACTATTATAGCTGGAGGTCATTCTTCATCATAAAGAATTCGCTGAAAGGTAAAAGTGGCAGGGAACCGATTTTACTAACTGAAGTTATGGAGAGGAAGGGGAAGTAGCTCACTGTTAGGAAAACTATAAAGTTCAAGGTCAAAAATTGAACCTCTCCCAAAAGTAAGAAAAAAAACAAAACAGATGTATTTACTTGATGTATTTGTGCGTGTGTCAGACCCACAGAGACACAATCAGCTGCGTGTGGTGGTCCACCGCGTAGAAGGTTAGCGTATTAGCACCGGTTAGCCCCCTGTGTCACATTGTCTCATGGACATGCGCCACAGTACAGTTATATTGCGGCGATCTTCAGTATAACTCCACCGTGCTGATTAAACAGGTTGGGATAATCTTGTTTGTCTTTTGTTAGCTTGGTTGTCAAAATATATCCACAGTGATATCATTAGCTAGCTATCTACGGCTAGCTAATGCCTACTAGCCTTAGCTAGTATTGTAAAATAAACGTGTTATGATATCATTTTTAACGAGAAATCAATGTTAAATTGTAAGAATACAATACTAACCCTAACCCCCTCAAAAAATCCAACATGGCGGAGAGACGTTCACTCAAGAATCCAACATGGTCCGTCATGTTGTTCACTCAAGGGGCGTGGTTAACCACCGCCACTTCGTATGTATTGTTACGAATTTGTATGTTCAAGATTTTCGTACACATTTTTCCGAACAGGTTTCGGAGATCACGTTGCAGCGGCAGGTTCCGACATGCCTTTAATCATCATTTTTGTACTGTCACTGTTGTAATATTGCCGTGCGGCAGCGAGGAACTTTTTCCCCTTACGGCAACCTTCAACATCATCCGTAATGACAATGTTTGTATGGATCACACCAGATGTATTTTTACAATAAGTTCCAACGTTGGCATGGTTCTGCTCTAAGGGCAAACTCCTGCATCTGCCAGGAGGGGGCACTGTAGACCTTTGGAAACTTATTTACAGACACAACATTTAACACTTACCGGCCAATAATCTTTTAATCATATTTTCAGGCCCAGAATTTACGGTGGTGCGTATTGTAAAATCCGATTATTTGCATAACATTTACAGATGTATCGGAGGCCTTTGATGGTTTGATTGTCTTGATTGTCTTATTTTGGTACCTATAAAGCCACAAGTGGCTACCCAACAACAACTACCCCCCCCCCCCCGCCCACCCATCAGAAAGTGGTGTGAATTGGGGGGGGAAATGAGTGGCGTACTGTTTGTGAGGACCAACAAATAATATATTGCCATAGCCTATGCCTCACATGCATAAGTGAGGTAGTATGTTTGGTTCTGCATGACGATACATTTTTTCAAACCTTTTTACAATTGAGAACCATTGTATTGCGCTATGTCTGTACACGCTCTAATTACATGTGTGCACAAGCAAGCAAGCGTGTCTATTAGCCTGTATTTCAAACAAGTGGTGCTCTGTGGCTACAGTCCCACTCCACATTCAAGCACTACATAATAACTCCGAGCCCAGTGCAGTTGTTCTCGACAGATTAGCAAAATAATTATGCGCACTAAAATCAATACAATCAACCACATCAGCTCTCTGTCCCCATGAGCCCTTGCGAGAAATGAATGTGTATCTTATGTGTATCCTGCACACGTGCGAGCGGTGTCAGGTATCCACTCACGCTGCCATGTGAAACAACGACACAAGTCATCCTTAGCAGAAGAGGCAGGCACCCCTTGGGCCAATTAGCAACAAGATGCATCATCTCTCCAATTTTCATCAACACTGAAACCCGCGGCGAAGCAGTTAGGGCCATTCAAAATTTAAAATTTTGACCTTTTAATTACAGCGTTCCCATTGGGCCAATCAGTGTCTCTTTGTCAAATGCCACAACACAGATGCAAACTGCGTCATCATGCAAAATTGGACAAACAGTGTGAAATGGTACCTGAGCTGTCAAGAACAAACAATATGGTGGATCCTTGGTCCTTTTCATCCTTGCGTGGAGCAGCTGATTTAAGAACATCTGATTTCCCTTCCTGAGAAAAAAAGACAATATTGCAAATGTCAGAGACTAAAAAAGGGTGTAATATGTACAGTTCTGTGTAAAAGGGTTTGGTTGAATTTAAGTGACATGTAGACAGTTCTCTGTTTGCATTTCGCCGTGCCCCGCCGTGACCCACCTTTTAGTGTTGCACATCAGGACACTGGGGGGTGTGCGCGCGGGCGGGGGGTTGGTGTTTCTGTCCCGCAATCCTCTGTTTGCCCACCAACTGAGAGCCCACCCAGACATCAGGGACTCTAACCAGTAAGGGCTGCGCCCCCTCGCGTGAGAGAGAGAGAGAGAGAGTGTGTCTCTTTTTATAACCCCCACACACACCCCTCTCACATATGCTCTTCATCTTTATCATCATTTCACACCCAGTGAGCGGAACTCGTCGGTGAGCCGTCATCAAGTTTTTCGCTCTCCTCTTGTTCTCTCTCTTCTCTTTCTTTTAGGCAGGCAGGGACACACACACACACACACACACACACACACACACACACACACACACACACACACACACACACACACACATACGCGCAGGCGCATGCATGCACACTGTGTTCTCTGGGGGTTCACAGTGGGAAAGAGAAGACAGACGATAGATCAGCAGCTGTAAAAGAAAATACTGCCGTTTGCTTCCAGTTTCTTCACATCCGTCTGGGCCACAGTTTAATCCACACGGTTCTTTGTTGCAGAACTCGATGTCCGCTGGACGTCCGCTGCTCATACGATCTCATGCAGGAAGAACTATCTAAATCCCACTGCTGCACACATTCCTCGGTTTGAAACAACTTTCCATCGTTTTCTTTCATTTCAGGTGCACTTCTTGCAATAGAAATCAATAAAAGAGCTGTCATGACATGTAACAGAATATTAAAGAAGCAGAACCCTTTGCAGGTGTTCTAATGCGTTGTGTCTGCTCTAGAAGTGTGTTTGAAGGAACGGCTTCCATTTTAATAACAAACGCTGCTCTGATGCACAGCATGTGTGAAGCAGAGTTTGAATCTATAGAATGTAGGATGGAATTTATACAGGATTATCATTGAAAATGATCCCACCGAAGCTAACTGAGCTAAAGTGTTCTCTGTATTTTGCTTGATCCCATCACTGATTTTGTGTCCAATGAAAATATTCTAAAGTACCTAATGTGCTTTTATGTTTACCCCTACTCACTCAAAATAAATCATACTATAGATGGTCAAATTTAGACAATTAAAGTAGTGACGGGTACGAGTGAATAAAAAAAATGTTCTTGAGGCATCCCGTCCGCTTACAGATCCAACCTGAGGTTTTTAAGTCGGTGTTCTTTCCTTTGTGAGCCACACTGTTGAAAGATACAGTATTTCCTTTAATCAATCAATATTTTATTCCCAAGGGGAGCAGCAGCCTGCGTTTCCTCATTTTGAGCTGACATTTTCCTTCACCACAGGCCAAAACATGAACCCCTTTAATTGGCAAAACCTCCTCCTAATAACATTTTTAATTAGAGCTCCATTAAGAGCAGTTGAAATAGACAGAGCGAGCAGTATTTAAAAAAAAAACATACTCACTCATTGCTGAGACACTTCTAATAAGGGAGAGATCAAGATATAATTCCAACACAAAGTAATAATGTGATTTTGTTTGTTGATTCATTTCTAATCTGTCGGTATCTCAGTGTGGGAGAGACGTCTTGTCATTGTTTCTGTGTTTGTAGCAGGTTTTGATCAGCAGGTGGCTGTTTTTGATTCTATATTTAACAGCTCACTAGAGGTTTTCCTTCTAAGGGGGGAAATTATCCAG